CACATCGGGACAGGGCCTATCTGAGTTTTTATGCGTCCCTCACCATCTTGCTTAAGCCGAAGGTCGGCTGTCGTGCAACGCTCTTCTCGGTCCAACTTGGCTCTCTTTTTGGCAGCTGCGCCCCATAACTTGACCCAAACTCTTGAGAATTTTTTTCGCCTCAAAACTCCACGCCGCAACTCTGGGGAGACCCCAGACACAAAATTATGAGGGTTATGCGGGCCTTGGAATTTGCTGATGTTGGGATAATGCCTTGCAAGGCTTCATGTTTGGGGCATTCGTGTGTATGCGCTGGTCTGGGGGTCCTACTTGCCAAAAAAAGGGTTAGGAGTTTATGATTATATCCCTCATACATAACAATGCAGTAGATGCACAGGCCCCAAACCATCAACCATCCTAAACTATAGATCTGTAGAATCGCGTCTGAGGGTTTCCGACGTCACGGTAATGGCTCCCAGACTCGCCCTTTGGGGGAGTGGCGTTCTTGATATTGGGGGGGGGGTCTCAAATCAGATTTCTAATTAATTACTTCGTGGAAGAGTCTAGAATCTAGCAGCTTACTTGTATTTTAGGGCTGGGTCCCAAACCCTCATTCGCTAGCTGCAGACTTGCCTTGACTTGCAGGTCTACAAGGCAGAGCTCTTGGACGGAAGCCGTGTGGCCGTGAAGGCAGATTGGGGAGTTGAGGGTTTATCGAATTGGTGTGCCCGCAAACGGTAGGCCTCCGTTGCGTCGTATCCCTGCTCAACCCCAAGGCCTGAAGGCCTTTTGCCAGGTTCAACGGCCGAACCTCGCCGAGACCGTCAGCCTCGACCTTGTTATTGCCAGGTGCCAGCACGTACCCTAATATAGTACCCTAAATAGTAGGAGCCTGATTATGAGGACCCCAAAATACGGTACTCCTTATTTTCGGAAACTCCCATTTGGGTCAGGGTATTGCCAGAGTTTGGGTGCCAGGGCTCTGGGATTTAGGCGTTCAGTAATGGTCCTCTTCCATGTCTGGAAGGACTCGTGTTTTTTGGAAGCACAAGCTGTAGTCTAGCCAGATTAATGGCTGGCTTCATTCGCTTACATGCTTATATCTTGATGATGAGGATGAGAACGTGTGTGAATTTGACATAATGTTTGTCATAGTCGCTATTGTCGTGGGCTTTTTGGTTGCCACGTATCCCATTTGTAGTGCAAGCATCCGTGTTGGTTGGACTTTGGTAATCGTCGTTGGAGGTGGAGTGCGGTTGATGCCTGTTCGCAGATGGCCGTGTAGGATCTCAAAGCATCATAGGCCAGGCTTGCTTATGTAAGCCCCAACCAAAAATTCCTGCGGAGATAACTTGTCCGTTATGACCCTACAGAAACCCTGAGAACACAGCCCACAAAATCCCGATAGACCCCTATAAGCAGGACTTCAAAGGCTCAAAGGCAGAGCCCTGCAGAAACCTCAACGACAACCCACACAATCCTTGTACCCTCCCCAAAAAACACCTAAACCCTAAACCCTAAACCCTAAACCAAAACCCTAACCCCTCCCCAAAAAACAGCCGCCACAGGCAGATAGCCAAGCTCCTCATGTCCTTCAACGATGTCCTTCCCGAAGGCGACCAATGTTCTCGGCTCTCCTAACGAACTGCTGGTTTAGGGTTTAGGGTTTAGGGTTTAGGGTTTAGGGTTTAGGGTTTAGGGTTTAGGGTTTAGGGTTTGGGGTTTAGGGTTTAGGGTCTAGGGTTTGCAAGAGGGTCCATATTCACGACCACTATTGGAATTATGCATCTCCCAAAGATCAAAGATCATACTCGTCATTCTTTATGGCTGTTGAGATCTAATTCCATATATTTAAGCAGTACATAGGGACCCTTTTGCATTCTTCAGGCTGCCTGTGCCCAATAGGAAAGCCGCTTCCTGCAGGTACCTGCATAGGATCTGATTTACCGCCCTTGTCAAGCTCTATAGTTACATGGACCCCCTTGGGGCAATAATAACACCCACAAAGTCTGGCAAGTCTCATTCTCATTGGGGGCAAGGGGCTTGAGGCTTTTTGTCGCTTTGTGCCTTTGACCCCAGGGCTTCTGACGAATATGATGGGTTCGGGGTGTAGGGTTTAGGGATATAAGGGCCTCAACTAATCAGAGTAGGGTTCCTCTGAACGGTTCCAGGGGTTTGGTACTTTCGGGTTCGGGGTTCAGCGGGTAGGTGTAAGGCTCTCGAAGAGTTGGGCTTGGAGGTTCCTTCTTCGAGTTAGTGATGGCTCGTGGATCCCTAAACCCTAAACCCTAAACCGAAAGTGGGTGGTTGGGGTGGATTTCCCATGCTCGGGGGCTCGAGGTCCGGTGCGCCCTGGCGATCCACACCCTGAAATCTGAAACCCTTGGATCACCAAATGCCTAGAAAGGGAGGAGTCTTCGAATTAGGGTGTGTTTTTTGGGTTTGGGGCCTATTAGGGGGTTTGGGCGGTTTAGGGTTTAGGGATTCGGGGCTTTAGGGGTTTAGGGTTTTAGGGTTTGTTTTCGAGGTCTTCGTCCAGCTAGCGGTGAGCCCCACTCGTGCCACAACCCCCACATAACCATAGCGCATCACCATGAACGCGCATCTCAACTCGGAGTCCCAAAATCCAAACCCTCAATCCCTAAGACCAAAGGCTCAAGAGTTTAGGGTTTAGGGTTTTGCTACACCAGACCCTGATGATAGCTACACCCCTCCCCCCAAAAAAAAATCGAGACATGAAGCCCTAAACCAAGAGCCCAAAGCCAAAACTACTCGAAGCTATGACAAGAGTTTTGGGCAACACCGGCATCCTCTGTCATGTTGGTGCGTGCCGTGCCACATTCACACTGCGGCTCAGCCCAGTGGTTTTACCGCGTCGTCGAAATTGCTGTCCTGACGGCCCAGGGGGTCTTGGAACTGGCAGTCGGCCCAGCCACCTGAATCCTTTCACGGTCTTTTTTTCGAAGACATGTATGCGACCCCCGGATGATAAGCAAAAACCCCACACCTAAACCATCCTAAACCCCTAACACGCGCAGCAGTTTCAAAAGGTCTCCAGAACAGCGACCTTATCGGCTTCGTGGATGCTTTTGGCCAGCGGGTTTTCGAGGAGTTGGATTATGCCGCTTGGCAGATTTTGTGTGAGCCAACCTTTGCTGTGGGCCCGAAGATACTACATAGTGTGGAAAGCTACACCCTAAGCTAAGCCTTTGGGCAGTAATGGTATCTACAGGTAGGTATAAATATCTGAATACATAGATGTGAAACACAGAACATAAGAAGCATGAAGCCGCCCGACGAACACATACAGGTATAAAGCACTTTAGGCAGATACAGGCATAGAAGCAGGATAACTGCAATACGACAATGATTCATATTTACAACAAAAAACTAGAATACATAAGTGTTTCATCTTGTGGTATGTGTTTCTCTTGTGCGGGGGCCGTTTCGGAGCTCATGTTTTGGGTCTAGCCGAAGCCTGAAAACCGTGGCGTCTAGGGCTGCAGGATTTCTGGTCTCAGGGATTAGAGCATTGAGTTTGGGGTTTTGGGGGTGTTTAGTTAAAGAGTGTTGATGCAAGTAGGGTTTTACTTCAAGCAAGGTTCCGGGCCGCTAGGGCGCTAGGGCTTGTTGGGGTTGAGTTCCTCAGATGGATGCGTGCGTGTTCCCCCGCCTCAATGATAGCCGGGCCCGTCCCGCGTTGTGCGTTAAGGGCTAGACTGACCGACATGTAGAATTACACTAGGCTCAAACACAGTCCATAACAGGTTGTGTAAAAAAAAATCTCTGGGTCAGACGGTCAGACATAGGCGTTTGTTTTACAACCTTGACCCTAAACCCTAAAGCAATACAAGTCTGACACTTTCCTCAACCCTAAGCCCGAATGTGAACTAAGGAGATGGAGGTGAAGCTTCTCGGCGTGCAGAAGAAGTCGATAAGGCATGATGAGGTCTCAGGGGAACAGTACAGACCACCGTCAGAAATCCTTCATTGTGGTCAACTCCAGACTCTAAAGGCCCTCATAAACCGAATGAGCTGCATGCCCGAAATCCTAAACCCGCCTAAACCCTGAAACCCTAAACTCTAAACCCTAAACCCTAACACCCTAAACCCTAAACCCAAACCCTAAACCCTTAAACCCCGGATCCCGTCTACTTGCCGAAGCTGGGCCCTAAACCCCTAGGGTTTAGGGTTCAGG